ATGTTTTCTGCATTTTTCTCTTAAGTTAATTTTGATAAGTGATATTTTCTAACAATTTGTCTGAATTTTTTTCATATATTGATATGAATTTTTTTCATATTTTGAAATGGGCTGAAGATATTATGTACTTTACCATCTTTAACTATCTGCCCCAGAAATAATGTCTCCTTTTATTATTTTTGATATTGGTTTTATGTGCTTTTCTTTCTTTTTTTGTTTTTTAATGAATCATGTCATACTTTTGTCACTTTTATTAATTTTATCAACATCAAAACTATTGGCTTTACTGTTACATTCCATTTTATGTTACTTTTTTTATATCATTAATTTTTGCTTTATTATTTTTTGCCTTCTACTTTCTTTGAGTTTACATTGCTATTCTTTCTGTAACTTCTTTAAATGGATGCTTAGCTCATTAGCTTTTCAGGCTTTCTTCTTTTCTATTTTATGTACATAAAGCTATAAATTTTTTCTAAATACTGCTTTAGCTGAGTTCCACAAGTTTTGATGTATAGTATTATTATTCAGTTCAAACTATTTTCTAATTTCCATTAGAATTTCTCCTTTAACTCATAGTTTACTTAAAAATGTATTTTACATATAGGAATTTAACATAATATTTTAAAATATGTATTTCTAACTTAGCTTTCTCAGGGTCAGAGAACTTGGTCTCTGTGAGTCCAACCCATTGTGATTTGTTGAAACATATTTGGTGGTTCATCTGCTCATTTTTTAAAAATGTTTCTGTGATTTTAAGAAGAAAATGCTTTTGGCATTTGTTATGTGAACTGTTCTATATTTGTTCATTGGGTCAATTTTGTTATCATTTTTTTCAAATATTTTCTATCAATTACTGTGAAATATGCATTCAGATCTTCCTCTATCATTATGGGTTTGTCTGTTTTGTCTTGTAGTTCTGTCAATTTCCATATTATATATATTTATGCCACATTATTTGGTCCATATGTATTTAAAACTAGTATGACTTCCAGGTAAAAGAAACCTTTTCTCATATAATTAAGTGACTTTACCTCCAATAATAATTTTTTGCTTTAGATTTTATCTGATATTTATGTAGTGATCTCAGCTTTCTCTTTTTTTCCTCCCCAAAGCCCCAGTACGTAGTTGTATATTCTAGTTGTAGGTCCTTCTAGCTCTTCTACGTGAGCCACTGCCACAGCATGGCTACTGACCGACGAGTGATGTGGTTCTGTGCCTGGGATATGAACCTGGGCCGCCGAAGCAGAGTGCGCCAACTTTAACCACTAGGCCATCAGCTCTCAGCTTTCTATATGCTTATGTTTTAGAGGTTCCCCTTATGAACAGTAAATGTTAGATTTTATTTTTATCTACTCTGACAATCTTTATTTTTTCACTGGAGTTTTTTCTTCACTTGCTATCAGTTTAGTTACTGGTTTATTGACATTTATTTCTACCATCTTAGTTTGTGCTATTTGTGCCATCTATTCATTTTTTCTTTTCCTCTCCTTTCTTGTCTTGTTAGATTAGCTGTATATGTTTATCATTACCTTTTTTCTCTTTGAATTTATTCATACTGTTTCTATTCTACTTGTAGTTTCCCTAGAAATTAAAACATGCACAATTAATTCCACAAATCGGAATTCGATTAAATCTTTACCCTCTTCCTGGGCAATACATGAATCTTAAAATACTTTAAATTCATGTACTCTTCTGAATGAAATGTTATTATCTCCATTTTAAAATCCATCTTGTTTTGGGGTTTTTTATAATCTTATAGACATTATTATCATTGTTTTATTCAGTCAATGTTAATTTACATTTGCATACGTATTTACCACTTTTGTTTTTTTCTTCTCTTATGTTAGACCTGTCATTTGAGATCAGTTTCTCTCTGCCTAAAGTACATTCTCTAGAATTTCAACTATTTTCAACTATAGCTCTGTTCTCTCTACTCACCTTTCAGGATATGGACCAATTGCTAGTTAGACTTTCTCACCTTACCTTCTACTGTTTTTATCCTCTCTGCTGTATTTTCCACTATTTTCTCTCTTCATCCTGTTCTGATTCATATTTAAATTCACTAATTCTCCCTTCTGCTGTGTTAATTTTGCTGCCAATTATGTTCATTGAGTAATTAATTTAATTACATTTTTCATTTCTAGAAGTTCTGTTTGATTCTTTTTCAAATATGCCATGCTACATTTTATTACTTCTTCCCTGCAGTTATTTTCAAGTGTTTTGTTGACCATATATTATAAACTTTAAGATGCATATTTGTTTTTACCTTTTAACATCTCTGAAATAGAGGTATATCTGATAATTAATGTTGTTTTATAATTACTGTCAGCCAAAAAGCAGCCATAAAGAGGTCATTATTTTGTGCCCAAAAAAGAACTTACAGATTGGTATAAAAGGAAAAAGAACATTTGTAAGACTGGTAACTGATCCAGGTGTGAGGCCTTTTTAAATTTTTTCTCCAGTAGAGATACCAGATTGGAATAGAAGTTGCAGTTGGAGCCACCATTTGATTAAGCTTCAGTCAGCTGCTGTGTTCTCCACAATCTGTGTGCTTCTGCACAGGAGAAATAGGTGATTAAAGGAAGATTGATAAAGACAACTAGCCCTGCATTTTTCAAACCTTTGCACTACCCTCTGCAACTGCCCCCAGGACGTGGTATTGCTTTTGCTTTTCTATGGGTATTAGTTTTCTATTGCTGAGTAACAAATGACCACAAACTTGGCACCCTAAAATGATACCCATTCGTTATCTCACAGTTCTGCAAGTCAGAAGTCTGGGCATGGCATGGCTGGGTGCTCTGCTCAGGGTCTCACCAGGCTGAAATGGAGGCGTTAAAGGGCTGGGCTCTCATCTGAGGCTCAGAGTCCTCTTTCCAGCTAACATGGTTGTTAACAGAGTTTATTTCCTTGCATATATAGAACTCACAGGGACTGCATCTTCAAGGTTCACCGGAGAATGTCTCTCTGACACCCAACCTTCTTGTAAAGAGTTCACCTGATTAGATCGGGTCCACCTAGGATAAGCCCTATTTTCACTAACTCAATTTCAACTTATTAGTAACCTAATCATGGGAGCCACAATCTGTCTCATTTTCACTGCCTACATTCAAAGGGAGGGTATTTTACAGAGTGTGTATACCAGGTGGCAGGAATCTTAAGGGTCAGTTAGAATTCTGCCTACCAGACTATCCTAGAGGGGTCTCAGGACTTCCATTTGGCTCTTCCTACCATAATAGGCCTCCCTCTTTCCCCGGGCCATGGAGATGATACATAGGTCATACCAGTTTTTGAGTATGTTCATTCCTATCATTTATTCAGTAATCATGGAACTAACCACAGGTTAGATCCATGGACACACTGTCCACTGAGACAGTCCCAGGCCAAAATGTCATTTCCCTCCCAGTGTGAGAGGGCTCTGTGCTGACTGTGGACCATAGTGGTGCTTTGGGTCCCAGGAATTAGTATTGACATAGAGCCAGTGTTTATAATCTCTGAAAAGTCTGCATGTTTCTTCTTGCCTAGGGCACAATGACGCCGTGATTGCCTGCAGAGCCCTCCCTGCGTGCAGCACTTGGTCCCAGTCTGCAGTTTCCTTCTGTACTCTGTGAACCAGCCCCATCATGCCCCCTCAGAGGTCTGGATTGCCCCTCTTCCGAGCTTCTAGGTTCTGAAACCTCAATCCCTTCATTTAGTTTCTCAAGTCCCAGAGGTGGTAGCTGCTCCTTGCAGTTGCTGCCTCTGTGTTACCTTACTCTTTGCTTTTTGCCTTTTTAATCCTCCAATGTTGATTTAACCAATTCTGTTTTAAAATGTCTCTGCTACATGGATGAACCCAGAGGACGTTATGTTAAGTGAAATAAGCCAGTCATAGGACAAATACTGCATGATTCCACTTATATGAAAAATCTAAAATAGTCAAATTCTAGAAGCTGAGAGTAGAATTGTGGTTGCCAGGAGTTGGGGGGAGGGTAAAAAGGGGAGATGTCGGTCAATGGGTATAAAGTTTCAGTTGTGCAAGATGAGTAAGTTCTAGAGATCTGCTGTACAATGTTGTGCCTATAGTCAATAATATTGTATTGTGCACTTGAAAATTCTTAGCAGGGTTTGTCTCATGTTAAGTGTTCTTACAACAACAACAACAACAAAGAAGCACAAAGAAACTTTTGGAGGTAATGGATACATCTATTAGCTTGATTGCACATATGTCCAAACTCATCAAATTGTATATATTAAATATGTACCTCAATTGTATATCAATTGCAACTAAATAAAGCTTCTTAAAATAAATAAATAAAATAAAATGTCTTTAAAATAACTGATATAGTTCCTGTTTTCCTGAGTGGAGCCAGACACATATCCAGAGGTTCCTCAACAATAGAAGGGAACATTGTACAGAAATACAGTTGAGCATATTATTGCTGCACCTGGATGAAATTCACAAAGTCAATGCTGTGACACAAAAGAATTTATACAGTGTGATTCCACTTGCATGCATTCTAAAATTAAATCCTATTGTTTAGGGATGCATATATCGAGTGTAAAAACATAACAGAAAGTGAGGAAGTCGGTGGTGCCGTGAGCAGCAGGGGAGCCCCCAGCAGAGAGGGAGGGCTTGCGACCCAGCAGAGCACACCTCTGGGGCCTCAGCCAGGTTTCCCATCTTCACCTGAGTGGGGGTTACATGAATGTTTGAGCACTTTCTGTATATGTGTCATAGCTCACAATGTACAATATTTTGCTCGTTATTTTAGTTCTAATAGAGATGGCTTTACAGCTTACATAAACTTGCAGCCTTACTTTCCACCAACACCTGTTTTTTTCCTGTGTGCTTATGTCAAGCCCTCAGTCCTCTCACATGGAATGATATTAAAACAGTCAGTGCAAGAGAAAAGTGCTATTTTGAGGACATCAGTGACTTCTGAAGTGGCTGTAGAACATACTCATGAAGCTTAGTACTTACCCCACACTGAGCCACAGCATTGGTGGTTGTATTAAAGTCTGCCAAGGAAGATGAACTTGAGTCTTGTCGCACTATACCTGGAAAACAACGGCAAACACTTTTTAAGCTGGAAAATTGAAACTAATGTTCATGCCTTTTTCAGTCTTAATCTGTTTAAAATTGTTCTCAGACCATGTTTTTCAGAGATAATCTGATTTATCATGTATACATATTTAAATCAAAATATGTTTATGTGTTTTTATATATTATATATTAAATACATTTAATATATCTTAGCATTCTGCATCTTAAATGAAACAATTTTTGGCAAATTCATGGTCAACTTATAATGAAAGTACATAAATAAATTATATAAGTTTTCATGAATTATTTAACTCCTGTGTGTCAAATGATTGCTTTCTTTTCCTCAATAGTATTACGTTTAAATAAAACTTGAAACATTTTTGGAAGACCCAAGAGGATTTCAGCAATATGGTCATGCCAGCAATGGCTGCTCTTTCTATGCTGGTTTCTCCCCACTCCAGGAATCAATTTCAAATTACTCCTCCCAGGTACCTAATATGCACTTCTTAACCTAAGTTATCTGTAATAAGAACATAGGCAGGTATAAAACAAATAATAGTTATACTTAAAACTTTTATTAGTATCAGGGTATTATTTATTTAGACAGAATAAAGTGTCCAACTACAAGGTTTTTTCCTCAAAGGAATTTTAAAGAAATTCCAAACTTTATCATCTAGCAATTGTACTAACTTTAAATATATAGAATTCAAAATGAAGTCTTAAAGTATGATTATAATTCCATTTAAATATCAGAGAAGAAAAAGTGCAGATTCAGGCTTCATCTAACAAGCACACCTTTAGCAACTGATGTTGCCAGGAGTGTGAGTTTTTCAGCTATAAATCACTGACATGATTGCTTAATGGTCAAATAAGGAAATGTGTTCGGCAGTGTCACATAACACTACACAAGGATTTTATTGCTCTGCAGCATTCAGAAGGAAAATAATGGTAAAAATAAAACTCTAGGTTAAAATGTTAACTTCATAAAGCATGATGATAATATATGGTCTTTCCCTTTCAGGTTCCTTCTAAAAAATGTCGGCCTATCAGTACTCCCACCAATCAACGTTTTGGGACCCAAAGTACCCCTTCCGCTGGTGTTCTGTAGTGAGCCTTGACATCTTTGCTGGAACATCTGCCCCAGGGCCACCACCACCTGAATGCTTTACATCATTTATCCTACGTTCCGTGCCTCCTTACACCTCTCTTGAATTAGAATCTATTTTGGTTCTCATTTTTGCAAAGTTACTCGAGTTCTCTTTAACCGTTTCTTCTATTGTCCATGAAAAAGTCGACCCACAAATATTTACTGGACAGCCACTGCTTTTCAGAGTTTGCTGATCCTGAGTTCCTTATTAGCCCTCCAGAATACTCATCAGCTGGTGCAGGCCCACCCCACTGTGATCCAGTCCAATGTGAGCCACAGAACTGTAGGTTGAAAGGAAAGGGAGCTCATAACACGTAGAAGAAGGTCCACTAACTAATTTGTATAAGAAATGGCCTCTGTTAAGAAACCAGAATATCCCTTCACTTGGAGGTAACAGTCACAGTTTATTTTTATTAAATTCTCATGTCATTAATACGCTCATAATGAAAGGAAATTTAAGAAATTCATGTATTAAAAAGTGTAACACAGGGTCGGCCTGTGGCTTAGCAGTTAAGTGCGTGCGCTCCGCTACTGGCGGCCTGGGGTTCAGATCCCAGGTGCGCACCAGTGTACCACTTCTCCAGCCATGCTGAGGCGGCATCCCACATACAGCAACTAGAAGGATGTGCAGCTATGACATACAACTATCTACTGGGGCTTTGGGGAGAAAAAGGGAAAAAAGGAGGAGGATTGGCAATAGATGTTAGCTCAGGGCCGGTCTTCCTCGGCAAAAAGAGGAGGATTGGCATGGATGTTAGCTCAGGGCTCATCTTCCTCACAAAAAAAAAAAAAGGTGTAACACATTCTTAGCTTCCAGATTCATGGGGAAATGTCTAGGAAATCTTAATGGAGAAAAAAAAGGTTAGTAAATAGTTGAAAATTGCTTAAAGCAGGCACTCAAGAATCAAATTGGAGGATGGTCATGAGCATCCTGATGCAAGTCTGAGTGAGTCTCCCGTGCTATCTCCCCACAGGGCCCGGTACAGCCCTGACCACAGACATGTGTTCGCTCCACCTCCTCCAGTTTGAACGTTAGCAGACTTTCACATGGCCAGAGTGACTTTGCCTCGTGCTGTGACACGTGGGAGCATTCCAAAACTGGGAAGTGAATGGTATGAAATAAAAAATTTTTTATCTATTACCAGAACGCTTTTATGAAAAATGTCACGATACTGAAAAAAGGTAGTTACAATTAAAGCAAAATATTTTGCTTTTACTATGATAGAAAAATCTCTAAATTGTGCAAAATAAAATTTAAAAAAATAACTATTTGAACATTTTATCAAATAAGAATAGATACACACAGTCACACACACACACAGACACACACACTAATCTTGGGCTCCAGGCTGGCTTACAGGAGCTATTCTCCCACCCGTGTAGTAAGCTGGCTCTCATGTGGCCAAATGGACCCATGGGAGTGGACGGCAATAGGTCCTGATTTAGGCAACAATTAGCCCCATACCCTTTTAGATCTGAGCTCCTCACCCTTATTCAGGTGTTCGATTTCTAACCACAGGTCGGATTGGTACTTCTCTTTGGCTTTCATTTTACTAAAAGAAGCAGAAAGAAGGGAAGACGTCATTAAGTGCTAAGCGCTGGAGCCTGACCTATAGTTGGATCCCGCATAACTGTAATGTGGGGCTACTGCAGTTAGAATCCTCAGTCAAGCCCAATCTTGTATTTAAAACATTCCAAATAAAAGAGATTTGACCACTGCATCAGGGTTTGTTTCACAGGGAACCAAAATAATGGAGCAAATAAATGAATATATATACTATTTTCCCCCTGATTCACATGCCTACTTCTGAGCAAATGTGTGAATTGAGATGCCCTGAGCATGAGATGAAATAACATGTTTATTCCGAAAGACTCCACAGATGGTATTTGATAGCTCTTTATACTGTATCATTCTCATACTAAGAAATGTCTTCTCCAGGGCCGGCCCGGTGGCTTAGCGGTTGGGTGCACGCGCTCCGCTGCTGGCGGCCCGGGTTCGGATCCCGGGCGTGCACCGACGCACCGCTTCTCTGGCCATGCTGAGGCCGTGTCCCACATGCAGCAACTGGAAGGATGTGCAGCTATGACATACAACTATCCGCTGAGGCTTTGGGGGAAAAAATAAATAAATAAAATCTTTAAAAAAAAAAAAAAAGAAATGTCTTCTCCTTTTCCTGTTTAAATAAAGTATACTGGTCTTATAACTGGATCATTTGTAACATATAAAGTTTTTGGCTTTAAGTAATTAATTTTCTTGCCCTGAAGTTGATCCAAATGTCAATGACTACAGTTAAGTGAATAAGGTTTTAGGCAAGAAAAGTGGCTCCCAGAGACTTATATTTCTTCTCATCTCAGTAAATGACTCTTTTGGAGCACGTTTATGTGGAAACAGATGTTATATTTGTATTTTCACACTAGCTTGAATTTCTTTGTTTCCCTTTACTCTCCAGTGTTACACCTTCTCACCTACACTGGTGTATTCATAGGCCACGTTTATTGTCTATTTGTATGATTGTCATATTGTCATTCACGTTGTTGGAGTTTAATTTGCCCTATTTTTATGGTAAGAATGGGACAAAGAGCTCCACTAACCAGCAAACAGAGGAGAGGGTGAGGCCCCTTTTACAAAATACACATATTGCACTATACAATGTAAGCTGCAAGCTGTCACTAAAGATATGTGAAAACCAACATCAGTAGACCCTTCAGAAGTAAAAGGTCTATGGGAAATAGGCCACAATTTTTAGTTTGCCTCATACTATTTTCATTAAAAAATGTTTCTTTCTATGTGTACAAGATATTCCTTATGAGAAGATTTTGAGTGCTTGTGAATCAAGAAAATTTTTACAAATAAGAAGGAGAAAACAACAGAAACTTCATTCACAGGTGTATCAGTTTTCCATATTATTCAGTATTATTGATACCGTTTTGTGGAGATGCAAAAATCAATTAAAGCCTGTTGAAAGTACATGTGTTAAAAGTAACTAATTGCTTTCAAATTTTCATTTCATAGAAGAAATCTATTCCTTTTTTGGGAAAACTAAACTTTATGTCATAGGAAGAGACTGAACTTATAACTTCACTGTAAATACTTTGCCACCAGATTACAAATCATCCTGAGAATGACATCATCAGGCTTACCAGTCCAGAGTGACCGCAGCAGCCTCTGGGAGGACCTGTCTGGAAATCTGCTCTCTGTCCAGGGCTGACTCCCACTTAAGCATAGCTGACATATCCAGTTTATCAAACCGCTCCATCGCCCCCAGCATGTTCTACAAAATGAGGTGAGTAGGTTTTCATTTCCATCTCATATTTACATTTTAAATCACATCGGGAAAAACTTAGGAGGTGCTCGGGACTATTATTTTTCTTGAATAGTAAATATATCTTGTTGAAATATACTATTTTTCATTATATTTGAGGACAATATTAAAGATTCATACGAACAGTCTCATTTTTATTTTTATCACCATGACAGCTTCCCCTCCCCCCAAGCAGGGCTGCTTTCTTATGAAAAGGCTTTTCGTAGCTTGAGACCTAGGTAAACTGACATAATCCGGCAACTTCATCATCATAATTTTCAGCTTTTCTTTTTTCCATTCTATGAGCCTTCCTGGACTGTGGCTGACACTCACTCTTGCTCCTGTGACCAAGCAGGAATTTCTTAAAGACTCCACTTCTTTGGTTATTTCTAAGGTCAAGCCCTGGGCATCCTTTTCATCCTGGATGCTAGAATATAGGAAGTAAAAGACAGATATAAATGCAAATGTGGAAAAAAATAAATCAACCTAAAGAAGGATATAAGAAAGATACATGACAGTAAATCTTAATATAAGACTATTTAAGGAGTCATAAAAAAAATTTGCTACCAACAGAAAAGAGTAAAAATCTAGAGATGCTACCAAAATGTATAAATCTGGATTTTCACAGAGCTCTTAGAAAATGTGAAGTGGCTGGCTAGATTTAAGACACACTGGGCAGGAGTAGACTGCTTCCTAGGTTCAGATTATATAGTTGGAGAAATCATTAATTCTTTCAAGGCAAAGACAGTTTCATTGACTTAAGAAAGGTCACTATTCCAGACTTTTTATTCTTTTTTTTAGTGGGTTTTTTTTTTTTTCCGCTGGGAAAGCTTTTCCCTAAACTAATATCTGTCACCAATCTTCCTCTCTTTATTTTTTTTCCTCCCCAAAGCCCCAGTACATAGTTGTATGTTCTAGTCATAAGTCCTTCTAGTTCTATGTGAGCTGCCACCACAGCATGGCTACTGACAGACAAGTGGTGTGGTTACACGACCTGGGAACCTGGGCCACCGGAGTGGAGCGTGCTGAACTTTAACCACTAGGCCATCAGGCCTGGCTCCAAACTTTTTATTGTTAATTAGACATTAATTTAAATATTAATGTAGGCATTAAAATTCTACACTATGCCCATCTGTGAAATAGCTTATTGATAAACATTATGTGCGATGCACACTACTTACTAATGTAACAGCATTAACTTCCATTCCCAGGATTGCCCAGTCACTGGGATGGTTAGTCCCATCCCTCCCTAGCAAGTTCTGAGGCTGACAAATGAGAATTCCAGTGTAAAAGCAAACTAAAGACACTTTTGGACATGCAAAGAGATAGAAAGTTTATTACACACAGACTTTCTGAAAGAATTCCTCCAGGATACTCTCTAGTGCAAAACAAAAACTGAATTAAAAAAAAAAAGGGAAAAATAGGACACGAGAATAGTGGCTACATAACTAGTAACTTATGGTTAAGTCTAAAGGACTGTCAATAAGTAGTAATAATCTGGATCTAAAATTGCAGATGATACTGGCATTAGGTCTGGAGTGGAACTAGCAGAGTTCTTGACCAAACGCAGTGAGAATATAACAAGAACCCTACTCTCAACATCTCCAACAGCCATGTGATCTTTGTGAAGGTAGCAGTCCTCATAGAATAGTGCCTCTTCAGTATCAAAGTCAAAGCCTACCAGGAAATAAGCAAATTTCTTGAGCGCCTTAGGAAAGATATGCTCTAAAGAAACCAATTACACAATTTTGAATATTTTTATTCCTAATGAAAACTTAGAGCATCTTGTATCTTTACCATAAGAGGAAATATCACAGATTCTCATATAACTGAACTCAGTGTACTTGGAAAATATGTTTCTTCAAATCTGATCTACAGAGACTATTTGGGGTTCGATTATGATGCTTTTATATTACGTGTAATTATGGTGGAACTTGTTGAAATAAGGCTGCATCTCAAATATACTTATATGTGATACATGATATGAAGGGCTTTCAGGAGAAAAAATATTTTCTGGTGTGGGCCTTCCTGTATGTTAATAATCAAAGACGCAAAGTGGGCAGAATGCTTGAACAAATCCTTGTGGGAATTAAAAGGAAACAGCTGCCTATGAACAAATCACAATTAAAAGAAGTTAGACAAGACAAACTCAAACCAAGATATGTACAGGAAAGAAACGTAACAGTGAAAATAGTGCAGGCTTTGGGTCACGTAGTCCTGGGAACCAGTTTGGTTCTAATGTCCAGGAGCTATGTAGCCTAGACATGTTACAAAACAGCTCTGAACTGAAGGCATGAAGTGGGGTTTTAATACATACTGAACTGGCAGAGTAGTTAGAAGCATTTGAAATATATACATACATTTATTATGCGTGTGTGTGTACACACATAAGCTCATCAGTAAGTTATACTTTTTGCTGTGTATTGTTAAATGAACACCAAAAAAGAGTTAGCTTACAGAAATTGTCATAATTTTAAGCCTCAGTCAAAAGCTTAGACTTGATAAATCAGGAAGGTGAACTGAAGAATGTTTAGGAATTATAAACCCAGTTAATTTCCTAAATTATTAATTTCATAATGTATTTTAAACATAGTGCTACCTGTATTTTAAAGCACCATTTTCTGTTACAATTTTTAAGAGAAGAAAATAGAAATTTATCTAAAAAAACAAACATTCATTTGAAAGCAGAAGCCCTGAAACCCAGCTCTAAGTATAGACACTATTATATATGAAAAAAATCATGCCGGGGTTATTATTGGTAGGTTATTATTGGTATTAATAGGTAAAGAACTGTGGACATGGGTCTTCCATACCTTCCTGAGGTGTTCTGCAGGGGTCTGTAATCATTCATCCTACAGAATAAGGGGGTTCTCTCTTTGCTCATAGTGACACCAACACTCCCAGGTTTCCCCTCCTGGAGATCTTGGTGGAGCAGGGAGGCCTGAAAATCTAAGTCCTAGTCCTCCAACAGTCCAAAGGAGCTGCTGGTGTTAGCCAACTGCTGCTCCGTAGAGCTGGAAGGGTCCTGCCCCAGGATTCCAAAGATGGCTCCCACCCAAGTGGCAGTTAAACATGAAGACCCAATTGTGCAGGCTTGGTGGGTACCCATGTGTAATGACCTGGCCTGTGGGAAAGAGGAAACCCTCCCCTGGACAACAGGGTGGGAGAAAAATCCAGGAGGGCATTCTGGTGATGAGATTGTGATACTGGCTCATTCAACACAGCCTTTGAGTTATGAACTTTCAGAGATATATATATATGATGCAATATGTATATATAGGGGATCACCACTGGGGCCAAGGTTTGTTTCCCCGTCAAGGAACCACACCGTCTGTCTATCAATGGTCATACTCTGGCGGCTGCATGTTGCTGTGATACTGAAAGCTAGGCCACCAGTATTCAAATACCAGCAGGGTCACCCATGGTGGACAAGTTTCAGTGGAGCTTCCAGACTAAGACAGACTAGGAAGAAGGACCTGGTTACCCACTTCTGAAAAAATTGGCCATGAAAACCCTAGGAATAACAGCAGAGCATTGTCCGATACAGGGTAGAAGGTGAGAGGATGGCGCAAAAAGACCGAGCAGGGTTTTGCTCTGCTGTACACAGGGTTGCTAGGAGTCAGAATCGACTCGATGGCGCTAACAACCACAATATATATTTTTTAAATATTTTGCCCCTTTTACTTTATATTTCTCTCTCTCTCCGTATGTGTAATATGTACGTCTTTTTTTTCTGAGCCATTTGAAAATAAGTTGCAGACATTAGGCCTTGTTACCTCTTCAATACTTAAAAATAAGAACACCTCTTACATAACCACGGTACAAGGAAAAATACTTAGAAATTTAACATTGACACAACACTATTAACTAAAACATAACCCATATTCAAATTTTGTCAATTGTCCCAATAATGTCCGTCATAATTGTTTTTTTCTAGGTTCAGGATCTAATCCAGGATTGCTCATTGCATTTAGTTGACATATCGTTTAATCTGGAGGTGTTCCTCGGTCTGTCTTTGTCTTTTATGACCTTGAGACTTTGAGGAATACAGCCCAATTATTTTCAATTTGGGTGGATCTGACGTTTCCACATGATTAGATCCACGTTAGCAGTTTGGGGAGGAATTCCATAAAACTAATGTTGTGTCCTTATTACACCCTGTAGAATGGCACACACCCAACACCATGCGCCCCAGGGACACATGATGTCCGTTTGTCCCATTGTTGGTGATGTTAACTTTGATCGTTTGGGTAACCAAGTTTCTCCACTGTAAGTTTCCTATTTTCCATTTGTAACTAATAAGTTATTTTGTGAGAATATATTTCAAGACTAAGTAGACATCCTGTCCCTCATCAAACTTTCATCCACTGATCATTCTTACTATTGTGCTTGCAAGACAGGGCTCTATTCCTTCTATATTTATTAATTAGCATTCACTGTAAGGAACAGCTTTTCCTTTTCTCTCACTTATTATTTATTCATTAATTTATTTACATCAGTATGGACTCATGGTCTCCTATTTCGTTTTATTCCTTATTTCTTATTTATTTTACTCTCAGTTGTCTCTTGTATTAGTCTGCTCAGGCTACTATAACAAAATACCATAGACTGGGTGGGTTAAACAACAAAAATTTATTTCTTATGGTTCTGGAGGCTACAAGTCCAAGATCAAGATGCTGTTAAGGTAGGTTTCATGCTGTGACCTCTTCTCTCGGCTTGTAGGTGGCCCCCATTTCGCTAGCGCACATGGCCTCTTTATGTGTGCTCAGTGGGGGCCAGGCCTGGTGGGGGCGGCGGATAGAGAGAGAGAGAGAGAGCTCTCTAATGTCTCTTCTTATAAGAGCCCCACTCACATGACTTCATCTAAACCTGATCACCTCCCAAATGCCCCACCTTCAAATTCATCACATTAGGGGTTAGGATTTCAATGTATGAATTAAGGGGGGGGGAACCAAACATTCAGCCC